GCAGGGAGCAGAAAGCAGAGCAGCAGATGGGGCAGGGAGGCCATGGCAGGAAGCAGAAAGCAGAGCAGCAGATAGGGCAAGGAACACATGAGAGGGACAAGAAAGCAAAGAGCAGATAGGGCAAGGAACAGGTGACAGGGAGCAGACGGCAAACCAGCGCATAGGGCAAGGAGGACAGGGCAGAGAGCAGAAAGCAGAGCAACAGATGGGCCAGGGAGTAGAAAGCAGTGGCCAGGCAGTGCAGAGCAGGAAGCAGAAAGCAGAGCAGCAGATAGGGCAAGGGCCACGTGATAGGGAGCAGAAGGCAGAGCAGTAGACACACGTGCCCCCCCTGCCCCTAGTGGCGTGACAGGAGGCACATGCACCCGGCACCCACTGCGCATGCGCACTCCCGGCCCGGCCGCAGCCCCGGCCTCCCTCGGCGGCGGCCGCGCATGCGCCGGAAGCCCGCTGAGACGCCGCTTCCGCCCGTGCCCAAGATGGCGGCGCCCTTTGTCTGGTCCGTGTCCCTCCGAGCCCTGCGGGCTGCGATGTGACCCCCGCGGGGCCGGGATGGCAGGTAGCCGGGGGCAGGGGTCGCTTCGTTGTGGGGGGTGATTCCCCGTGGAGAGGTGATTGCCAATGAGGGGTGATTGCCCATGGGGGGGATTTGCGGGGGGGGGGGGGGTAACCACCCGTGGAAGGGGTCTAGGAGGGGTAGCTGCCCGTGGAGGGGGTGATTCCCCGTGGGGGGTGGGGTAACTACCCCGGGGGGGAGGGGCTGCAGCTAACGCTGGCCTCGGCCCGGGGCTTGAACGCGCTCTGCCCCAGCCCTGCCCCTCCCCCCTCTGATGCCCCTTGGGGGTGGGGCACCGTCTGGCCTCAGCCCCGGTGCACCCGCGTGCTCCCTCCGCCTCTGGGCATGGGGCCTTCCCCGGGCCCCCTCCAGCCCCTGAACCGGCCTTTTGGGCTCCCACGATGGTACGGAGCCGCCTTCCTGCGGCCTCCCCGGTGCCGTGGGGCGTCTGCTGGGCCGCGACCGGCAGACAGTCGCGGTGACGCGCTGGTGGATCTGCGCCCAACCCCTCTGCCCTCGCTCCTCCGTGGCCCAGTTTCCTTCCCAGCTCTGCTGAGATTTGCTGCCAGCCCTGAGAGCCTCGGTGGCCGGTGGGAATCGGCGCGTCCCTTCTGCAGAGTTTCTGGCTTGTCTCGACACACCGGGAAAGTGTCGGAGCACCCTGTAAAGTGGCATTTCTCACCCCGTGGCTCATGGCGAGAATACGTGGTGGGTCGTGAGCAAAGTTTCAAAACGATTCTCCTTTAAAGGAGAAAAACGTGGGTTTTCCCACGTGCTCCAGCCTGCAAGGGGCTGCTTGGGACTCCCCCGTGCCCCTCACGCAGGGGGGTGCTGTGTTGGGACTGGCCATCGATGTTTACAAACAGGTGCTGGTACAGAACCCGACCCCTGGTACAAAAAAAGGTTGAGAACCACTGATCTAAAAGCAGCTCCCAAGGCAAAGCAGAGGTACCCCAGGTTATATATTTATATATATATTTTTGTAGCATGTGTCATTTTAAGTACATGTGTGTTAGTGCAGCACCTGGATGCTGGAGGGCGTTTTGTAGAAATAAATAGATCGTACTGTTGGGTTGGTGACGCATGTGAGCCTATCTGCGTGTGTTTTGTGAGTAAAGCTGGGTGTTACAGAAGTTTGTGTCGGCTTAGTTTGATGGATGGTGCTGCGCAGTTGACAGCAGAGTCGAATCCGTAAATCGTGTTTCTTTGCAAATCTCTGTGGGCCCGAATTGTGACTTTCCCTAATGTCGCTGGGGGTCTTTCCAATGCCTGACACGTCAGCTCCTCGGCTGTGTCTGTAGGAGGAATCGAAGGCTAATTGCAACCGGTTCGCTGAACGTAGCGTTCTGGAAGCTCCCACGGTAAGGAGCATTTCTTACTGTGACACAGAAATAGCAGCTCCTCGGTACCTCTGAAGTTAGGATGCGTCGGAGCTGCTTACAGGTCTTGTCAGAGAGGTGATGCTTGTGAGAGCAGGGTGAGAATAAAGCAGCTTCCAGGGCTTTTCTAGTGCTGCCTTGCTAGCCAGGAGCGGCACTTTGGTGTCCCACAGTCAGGCAAGCCCTTTGATTCCTACGACATTTTATGGCTGGGAATTATCAGTGTGTAAGCACTTGTAGGTTGTATGCTGGGCACTTTCACCACCAACGTGTCACATGTTGATCACGTGGCAGTGGATCCTCGTGGCAGGGCTTGAAAACTGTCAGATATCTATTACCCCAAGTATGAAACCTTAGCAGCTAGAGCCTGATATGAGAAACAGGAGTGAGACGTCTCAGCATGTGAGATAACCTTGGGGGTGTCTGAGCCCTCATCTTCCTGATTCCCCAAGCTGCAAAAGCCCATTCAGACTAGAGCTTTTGCCCAGACCCTGCTTGAGGGTGCAAATACACAGCAGAAGTGGCTTCTCAATGGCTGGGATTTGTGCAGGGAGAAGACGGTGCACCTTTGCAGGTCTTTGTTCATTAGATCCTTTCCCACCAATAGTTTCATTGCCTGTCACGGTTCATCACTTAACAAGACATGTTACATGCGTTGAGGTAGAACATGAAAGACATTGCTTCATTTTCACCGCTGACCAAAGAATACTGTTTTCTTTTCACATCTCTGCAACATGCCCTTCAAAATAGTAGCTGCTTGGGGCTGGGGATCACTGTAGACCGCTCAGGAAAAACATCTGCTGTGTCAGTGCACGGTGATGAGCCAAAAGAGGCAAGCCTGTCGGGATGTGTAAGGGGTACGGTAGAGAGTACAGGCAGCTCTCGGACTTGCAATACGATCGGTTCCTGAAAACAGCGTCTTAAGTCGAAACATTGCAACTCAGAACTGATTTTCCCGTAGGAAACAATGCTATAAATGGGGGATTGGTTCCTGAACCAAGGTCTGATACCCCGTTTTCACCAAGAATAACCCAGAATTTTGTACTCAAAGAATTATAGATGAGTCATATAGCTACATTAATGTATTTCTATTGTAAATAGCAATCATTGATTTGGAAGGACTTCTTTGAGGTGACTTTGCTGGACTTTTTGAAGGGTTCTTGGCTAGATTTTTCTTGGAGTCCTGGCTGCAGGGTTTTCTGGAGTCTTGCTGGCTTTCTTAAAGTAAGCGTCCAAAGAAGTTTGGACAGACGTTCTCCAGGGAGCTGGGTGACAGCGACGTGCTCGCTGGCGTGGCGTCACGTCAGATCAAGTGTTGTAAAGTCGAAACTGACATCAGAAAGTTGAAACAGGGTGTCCGTTTATAATTGGTGTAAGTGCGAAACGTAACTTGAAATGTTGTAAGTCAGGGACTGCCTGTACTAAAAGGATGATGTTGCAGTGATGCAAATTAATGGCACGTTCTAACCTTGAAAGCTGAGTTCAGTACACGTTGCCTATCAAAAAATTTGGCAAAAATTGAAGGCATGTAGGGACCAGCGGCAAAATTAGTTGGAAGCAGGGAAAGATTTCTGTCTGCAGAGTCTGCCAAGATTAGGATCTGTCTGGAAAAACTAGGATCCTTCTGGGGCATGGAGTTGGTGCACTAAAAGGGAAGATGACCATAAACAGAAAGTAAGTCGTCTGTGGCTTTGTATCCTTTCAGGACCCGAGCCAGCGGGAGTTCAGCGATGTTGAAAAACAACAAATTTAAAAGTGATGTAAGGAAACCTTTTACATGCTGTATGTCAGCTTGTGGAACTCATTGTCACTGGACTACATCAAAGCCAAAATCTTAACACATTTTAAACGGGTTAAACATGTGCATGGATAACATTATCCTCTTTGGTTATGTGTGAGCTGATAAAATAAGAGAGGGTGGGTATAAAACCTTGTGCTTCAAGATAGCGAAGCCAGTCTTACGTTACTGAGGATTAGAAAGAAATGTCTGTTAGCAAGCTGTTGTGTAGTTGTCGGTTATGGAGACTGTGCTTTCCTCTGAAGTGTGCCGTGCTAGCCAGACTGCGAGATCAGATTGGCATGACCATCCTAATCTAATTCCTAATTTTGATTACTAAATTTAAAAAAATGAAGGTTGTGGTCCCTTGAAAATTGTTAACATTTAACTGCGAAGCATAAATTCAGGGCTGAAGCACTCCAAAAAACATGTCATTTGTTTGCGGCGTAACCTCGCTAACAAGGATCACCACTCGGATGTGCATATGATCCCGCAGTCCCGCTGCTGCTGTGCCATCGCTACAGAAGGTGTCTCATGCTAAGCTTTCCATCACTGTGATTGATACGGCAATAAAAAAATCCTGACAGCAATGTCAGGAAGAGATTGAGAGGGAGAACAACACAGGTATGTTGTAGAGAGGGTACAGTGCAAAGCACTGTCACTCTAGTAGCTTGGCTTCATTCTTAAGTGTGAGTTGCCTCGCTCTTTATTTTAGCCTAGATACCACTTTGATGGGCACAGCCTAAGAACCAGAGTAGAAGAGACAGTGAGATCTGTACATCCCAACCAGCTCACTTGTCCTTGGTAGGTAATGGGTTGATTTGGGAATAATGGTTTTGTATTTTGCTGTTACGATAATCATAGAAAAGTAGAGCTGGAAGGGACCTCCAAAGGTCACACCTAGTCCAACCCCTGCCTGACCCCCTATACAAACTGTCCTGTACAAACACATTGTCTAACCTATTAGCAGACCCGACTTCATGTCTGTCTGAAGTCAGGCAGGGTGTCACCTTGGAGACTAACTGGTTCAGCGAGGCATGAACTTTCATAGATGAGCCTATTTCATCAGATGCTAAGAGTGGACTTCTAAAGGGCAATGTTTTATTGAGTTTATCGCAGATGGCCAAGCCTTCTGATTCTGACCTCAGTGGGAGCGGAGATGTCCAGAGCAACTGGGAAGTGCATACTTTTGTGGCCTCTCCCTTGTCTATGGCCCTTATTACCATGCTGTTTGAGTGCTTTCCAATGCTTAATGTACTATCCTCACGACACTGCTCAGAAGCTGAGTAATGCTTTCGCCTCCCTCGTACAGACGGGAAAACCGAACTGGAGAAGCTAAGTGACTTGCACAAGGTCACCCAGTGAGTCTGTGGCAAAACATGCTGTTGAGCCCAAGCCATTCACCACCAGGCCGTTAGCATGTTTTTACTGTTTATTGCTATTTATTCTTTAAAGCTGCATCATAGAAATAGAGAATCCAGTTCACTGAGAGCAAGTAGCGTGTTATTAGACTGGAGGTGATCTGCTTAAGTAAGCTACTGCTCCGAGCTTGAGAAGCCTGGTAAAAATATCACTGTTCACCGGTGCAGCATCAACTGTATCTGGCTGCTGTTCCAACAGCCTCACGTTCGTTATAGTATCTGAATGACAAAATAAAGTAAAAAATTGTAAAAGATCAATTGACCAAACCAAAGCAGTTGTATTACTCTAGTCTTGTCACTAGCTATTCTGGACGTCCGCCTTTCAAATCAGGTGTGACGAACCCCACCAGGAGAAAGGCACGGGCATTAGTCACCTTATTGTACCTAACAGTAATGATGTATCCAGCCTTTCCCAGAGCTGTTATTTTTCCCCTTTTTGTCTAATTTTAAACTAAACCCATCTTTTAGCCTTGTCAGTAATCCACAACATCACTGCATATCTGCAAGTCATCACCTTTGAATATAAAGCCATGCTAAAATTGGTTTTTTCTAGTAACTCTGGACCCTCTGATAAGCCTGGCTGATGAATAGAGCAATTGTTCCGTAGGAAGTAAACCCTGATGAGAAGGTCTCCTTGACATTCAAGAGGGCAGCATGGTCCAAAGCAGAAGATCCAGGACTGCAAACTGAGAGACTGGGGTACTGCTCTTATCTCTGCCACTGACTCTGGGATTTGGGGGATGTTTGTTCATGGAAAAAAAGGTAAAAATATTTACAAACTTGCAAGTACGTTGATGTAATTCTTGAACTGTGGACCAATAACCTGATTTCAGTTTAGTAATAGTCAGTTCCCACCAGGCTGTGAGTAATTTTAGCAAGCAGATTTCTGTTTTGTTGTCTGATCATGACTTCTAAGATCTCTCCCCCTTTGACAGAGATGGAGAATAAGTGGTGCCTTTTGCCTGACCAAACACAAAATTCTAATTTAAGTGCGTAATGCATGTCACCCTAACCTGGAACTAATAAAATCCTACATACGCAGACTGCATAATAGTGCTGTCTAAGCCACCTAATGCTTGGAAAAACAAACACTGTGGAAAACCTTTACAACTTTTTTTTTGTTGATGGGCAGAACTGCTTCTTGTATTACTTTATTTTATAACGCTGAGATACCTTCATAACCCAGAGTCCAATTGCACAAGGCTCATGGTTCACATGCAAAATAGCTTCTAACATTTACTTACAGTGAGCTTCCGCCATCTAAAACAACCATGATTTTGAAGTCCCATCTCTGAGCATGAGAGCTGGAAGCTGTTGCTTATTTCTCTGCGTGGAAAGGGATTCTCTCTTTTGTTCCAGTGGTAAAATCTCCCGTTTCGAACCTTGTAGGCTCAGAACATGTTGGGCATTCAGCCTGTTGCTGGTCTTACACTCAGCATTGCTTGTGCTAGCCCTGGGTCAGCATAATTTTGAAAGGGAGCAGGGTGTCATCAAAGGAAACTCGCCCACATTTCAGAAAGAAGATGGAAACATCTAGGTGGAAAGCTAATTTTAAAGAGATGTGGTGTCCACTGGGGGGATTGAAATACTCCAAGTGCCTCTGAGTGGTCATAGTGCAGGTGAGGCCAGGAGGAGCCATAAGCGTGGCTTGTTACAGGTATTTTATCCAGCTTGTTACAGGGCTGCCTTCATGCTTCATGTCATCTTGGAAACTTTTGGAGGATCAGCTAAATTAGGCAAAGCCAATGCATTGCTGGTGTTTAGGAGCAGAGAGAGAAGATCCAGGACATGAAGAAACCAAATTGCAGCTGAAGAAGTGCAAATGAGGTGCAGAGACAAGGGCCGTCATTTAAGTGCATCGCGCTCTGCCAAGTCCAGGTCTGAGACGGTCTGATTCAGGGGTCTTGAGAGCCCAAAGGAAACGAATGCTGTAATGGAGCTTTGTGGGATTCATTGCTTCAGAATAAAATAGCATGTGCTTTAACTTCAGCTCCGTGACTTCACAGTTTCTGGTGGAAATTTCCATCCTTTGTAACGAGAATGCCAGATTGATGGGAGTGGAGGAATATTTACCTCTATAGTAATGGCAGGTTGAAGTGCAGGAAGCTAGCTCATCACAAAAAGGAGATAGCGTCCAGCACAGAGAGAGTTTTCTCTAAAGAAGTAACAAAAGGAGCTGTGACTGAAATGAACCCGCACATTGCCTGTTGTGCAAGTGCAAGCATGTGGCTGTATTACCTGGGGGAATATAACAGCCTGGAAGGAGATCGGAGGACATGGGTTTTTTATGAGTCCAAGCAGCGTGTGCTAGAAAGGTCTTGGTGGAATATGTCAGGGGTGGGAGCTCAGATCAGACTTGCTCCTGGGATATGTGGCAAGCTAGAAAAGGGAAGGCAGCAGCCCCTGCTTCATACAGGATCACCAGGTCCTCGGGCTTTTTGGAGACCTTGTTCTGTTAAGGCTGAAACCTCAACACCGCCCTGGCAAAGGCAGAGTGGCATGGGATCCCTCCTGATCTCTCCTGCAGTGCAGGCAGCCCCATGAAGGTGAATAAGCTGCGTTGAACCACTGAATTAGCCACAGCGACTCCCATTTCAGATTTAAGTTAACTTTGTACCCTTTGTCAAAGGGCCGGGGAATGCTGGATACAAGCAGCCTGAGTGAAAGAGGTGGAAGTTATTTCTAAACCATTCATTACCAAGTGTCATTACAGGAATACGTTCCATCGGAGGAGGGATGGTGTAGTGGTTAAACCCCAGAACCAGATCTTCCATCATGGATCCTGCCCAGGGTCACAAGTCACTTGAGATCCCAGCGCGTCTCCACGTGTAAAGCTGAGACCTCTTCAGGGCTATCTACTGCTGGCAGAAAGTTTTTGAGAGGCAGAGATAAACGGTTCTCGTAGTACTGCAGTGTGCTGGTGATATTATTACCAGGAGCAAAACCTCTTGTGTCAGCTCTGTTCGGAAGGGCTTAACCAAGTGTTTGAAGGGAAAAGCATCTCTGAGTACAGAAGGCGACTTGAAAGAGCGCATGGGTGGAAAGCCAAAAACCTTCCCTTTTTGCTGCTCAAGTGTATCGGTCTGGATTAGCCCCTTCAGCCCATGCTACTTGATCCTCTGATGGCTGCGCACGAGCCACAGAAACTATCTTGATTTCTCCCGGCAGGAGAAAACTGAGGTTAGCATCAGTGTGTCACAGTTAATGCTAAGGGGAGGGCTCTTCCGCTGGCCGAGCCTTGTGGATCACAGCCTGCGGAGGAACTTGTTGTCTTCCCTCTAATTATAACCCATCTGACTTCCCCTGCTCATTATTGCTCTTGAGCTTCATTGATACTGTAACCTTAATAAATCCTTGAAAGTCCTGCAGCAAATTGCTACCGTGGGGCTGTGAATTTTTGAAAAGGTTACGTCGCAGCGCGCTGGAAAGGAAGACTCCAAGGAGATCACAAGAATCACATCAGCTCGGCGGTGAGGCACAGCAGATGCATGTTAAATACAGCAGTGTTTAACCTCAGCACAAAATGACGAAGCTCTTTAAAGCCAGCCAGGCGCTGTCACAACATACACATACCCTGATCTCTCTGGGTCCAATTATTGCTTGATAACCTAGCACTCGGGGGAGCCCCAATCCGCTCCATTGCAGGTTACCAAAATGTAGTCACCTTCCCCTTCAGTTCTGCAGCCCGGCCCCTAAACACCAGTGTAGGGAGGAACTGGTCCCTCACTAATGAGGCCATCTCCTTTTCTTTCTCTATATGTTTCCAGGTGCTGCTGGCTCTGGCCTCGGTGCAGTTTTTAGGCCTGGATGGCCAGTCTTATAGCTTATTCGGGCAGGCTCTGTCAGCTGTACGCGGTGCCTGCCACCTCTAGCCTGCCCGAGCAGCAGGTTGCATGCTAGGATCGCGGGCACGGAAAAGCCAAAGGACACGAGGGGCATTTGTGCAGCAGAAAGACGCATCTCTCCGCGCCTGAGTGCCGTGAGTAAATTAGATGGAGCCTGCCCGGACAGCTCGGAGAGATTTTTGCATTAAAGCTCAGGCTTGCATTTTGGGTTAGAAGCTGAGCCCAGAGCTGCTGAACTCGCCAAAAGGGAAAGCTTCCACCTCTTGCTTTCCTGTCTGCCCCGGGCACCCCGCCAACCTGGTGCCATGGAAACCAGTGAATATATGATCATGTGCGAGCGAGCAGATCGCCTCCTACCTACATTTGGGGCTGCTCTTCCTACGTCTGAGTCATTTCAGGATGAGAGGCTATTGCTGTGGGCTGTCCCCATGTGTAGCACGCTGCCCGGGTCACGTATTACCCGTCTGCATTCACCAACGTGTTTGTAGCTGCCCGCCACATCTCTTCTAACCCACAGAGAGTCCAACAGCTCCCTCTGTATCAGCCTCTCTAGCTGTCGGAGGGTAGGTGCCAGGCACACCGCTCAGCCGGGGACTCGAGAGCAGCCTGGGATGCTGAGAGCCTGGGATGCTGAGAGCCTGGGAAGTGACCATCTCGCTCGGGAAAAGCACTGCACGGAGGACAGCTTTCTGGGCCGCTTGGTGCATGCATCGCTGCCTGAGAACCGCTCACCAGATCCACCCCGGATGCTCTGATCTCTTTCTGTGACTCCAAGACCCTTTGGGGAGCAAGAGAGAAAGGAAGTTGCAGGGAATTGGGAAGCGATCTGCACTCCTCGGGGTTGTGGTTCCTGGTGGTGTTGCTTCACAGCTGCTTTATATAGCGGTCCCACTCTGCTGGCACCCTGGTCTCAAAAGCGTGTCAGATCAGCGGTCGTCATGGCTAAAAGCCGCCGACCACTTCTCAGCCTCGCTGTCCCTGTTTCTTTTGTCTCTTTTTGGAATAAGCGGGTTTTACGAGTCCAAGGGCATGTCTTTATCACAGCTGACAGTGCCGAGGGGTGTTGCAGTGAAAGTCTACCCACTCCTGCCTGTTCCCAGCAGATGCATGCCAGAAAAATGCCAGGTCGCTGTCTTTTGAGTGGCACTGGTTGCGTGCCAGGGTGAGGTACCAGGACTTGGCACAGCGGAGCAGGAGGGGGTTTTCACAGAGATGCTCTGGGGCGCTGCTCAGGGTGGTGTAGACAGCCCCCGTCTTGCACTCGAAAAATGAACTGACTTCTCTTAGCAACTTTGTCCTACCCCGTGTTGCCCGCAGCTTTGTCGGCTGAGATCTCTGGCTGAGGACAGCGGCCACTTGCAGTATCGTTAGGGCTAAGCGTGTGCGACTCTTCTTCTTAACTCGTCTCGGGACCTCTCTTCCTGACTCTTCCCACGTGCTTCGCTCACCACAGAGCAGTTTTCTGAACCAGGCCTAAAACAGTCTGATATGGGGGCTGGGTCCAGAGAGGAAGATTTTTTTTGCAAAACAATTCAATTTGTTCGAGTTGTTTTTTTGGATTTGGAAATAAGACACTTTCCCCATGCGGTGTGCTCACATGTTCTTCATTCGGGTCCCTCTGGGTAGGAGCAAAAAAGGACAGCGTTGGGTTCTTCTAGGGACGTTGTTCTGACCTGATTCTCTTTATTAAAGCCACCAACACACCATACAAACTGATCCCCACGTACCTTAACTGTGTGTTGAATGTTACCAGTGTCTTTCCTTCTGAGTTTTTATCATTCCACAGGATTTGTCTAATTTGCTTCTGTGAGTTTTGGTTGGAAAACCTTGAATTTCCTACCTCTCTTCCCCAGTCTTTTATGAACAGAGGCTTGAGTGTGAATACAAAGTCTTTGATTTATTCACTGTTAAGCATGCATATGTGCCTGATGCTTTTCCTTGCTTATTTGAACCCATGAACTGAGCAGGTGTAGGAATGCAGTTTGCTGCTGTGGGAGTGATTCACAAACAGGATTATAACTTCAGGGGGTGAATAGACGATGTGAGCAGAGGAGCTCAGGAGAGCAAGTGTGTCTCTCCCTCCCCTACAAATATCCTTCCTTTTGGAAGAAGCTTGGAGTGACTCCTAGGGTGTTTTTTTTCACAGCTTTCCTGAAAGGGTCAGCATGTGCTTCCTCAGTTTGCTAAGGGGTAGGAGTAACAGAAAAGGGATAGGGCATTGCATGCAGAAGCGTATCCTACAGTGTAATTCTCCAACTCCAGAAGCACAGGCCAGGTCCTTTGGAGGCTTTCTTTTTGTCCAACCTGTGTAAGTTTTAAGGCCAGTCCATCCATCACGGTCAGCCCCATGCACCCAAGTGGCTTTTATGCTGGCTTTTCCGTGCGTTTGCAAGATGGAAGCTGAAACCTGGTGATGCACTTCGATTGCTACAGCACTCAGCTGTACTTAGCCGAGGCGGAGTTTTCCCCTTGCATTTGCCTCTGCTAAAAACACCTCTCGCTGCAAGAATCGCTTCTGCAAGTTATTTAAAGACAAGCCACGTACTCCAACACCAACCTCCCTGCCCCCACCCTTGGGCTGCTTGGGATATTGCTAGGTGTTCATTTGCTCTGTAGCATAATGATCGGCTCGGGTGACTGCTCCTTAAAGCTTATCTGCTGTGTGAGGCAGCTTGGATGTGCTAGCTGAAACCCTCTTGAGTTTGGGACTGCATGCAAGGGGACGGAGGATTCCCTGTGCCACCTGCTCAGTAGCTGTGGGCCTTGATGCTGTTTCTCCTCCATTCTGGACCCAAAGAAAGGGTTTTAGCACCAGAGGCCATGAGATTTCGGGGGCTAGATTCACAGAAGTGCGGAGAGCCTCCCACTGCAACCAGAGTCAATTGGAGCTGTGCTGCAAGACCTCTGTAAAGTACTGTAAAAACATGGAACATTTTTGGGGGGGGGCGGGGGGGAATTGGTTCCTGGACTTTACAAATTGAACCATTAGCGCGCACTTGGGAGTTTTGTCCAGTCGTTGGAAAACGATCTCTGTGCGCCTCAGAACTGCAGGCATACAGCAACAGAGCGGTGCTGCCTTTTCTCAAAGGGGCGTCTCTGAAAATGTCATGGGAGTGCCCAGGATTTCATATTCAGTGTACAGGGGTGGACTACAGAAAGCCGAGCACCACACGTAGAATCAGGAGCAAATATAATTGCCACCCTTGTGCTCAGGCCCACAGGGTCCTGTGATTAATGACTGCGAGCACGGGGCCTGAAATAATTTCTCATGGGCAACCTTAAATCAGGCCCTTCCTAACTCTGGAGTGCATGATTTGGAAAACGCAGGGTTCTTCTAACGCAGTTTTTAGATGCAGCCACAGAGACTTGGAGGGAGGAGATGAAGTGCATGCAGTTACGTAGGCTACCTGGATGCACAGCATGATGGGTATGAATTATTTACAAGGATTTTTTTCTTTAAGATATAGATCAGTATTACAGTCCCCTGGATCTTCTGAGTGTATCCTAACAACAGCCTCCTCCCCTTGCGGTGGTTGGGCATTGGCAGTACCCTCATACCCCTGTTTTACTTGTGCCACATTAGGGTGTCTGTGAATGCACTTTGCTGTCTGCTCCCCCCTCTTTGCAGAGTCCTAGGTCCAACCGTGCCCACATGGCTTTGCTTTCTCTCCTCAGCTATGGATTTCCCCCATCACAGCAAGCAGGTCCTGGAGCAACTAAACCAGCAGAGGCAGCTGGGCCTGCTGTGCGACTGCACCTTCGTGGTGGACGGCATTGACTTCAAGGCTCACAAGGCAGTGCTGGCAGCCTGCAGCGAGTACTTCAGGATGCTCTTTGTGGATCAGAAGGACGTGGTGCACCTGGACATCAGCAATGCAGCAGGTAGGCAGGGAGAGGCCAGGGCTGCAGCTGAGCAACAGGCTGCATTCTCAACCAGTGTAAATCTACATAGCCCCATGGATGTCAGTGGAGCTGGGCCATTTTATACCAGCTTAGAGTCTGGTTTAAAATGTGCCTTACAGCCTAGAGAACAGTGAGGCCAAAATGGAGATTGTGACAGCTCTCCTGAACCTATGGACAGGCTGGCTTGAGCCTGAAGACCTTCCAGTATCGGAGAGCACCAGCTCCAATGATGGCATGAGTATCCTGCAGCAGGACAATCAAGCCTTGTTACATTCTTCTACAAATAGATAGAGATGGTCTTATACTCTGAAGTATGGGGCTTTTCTCTCTTCCACAGCTGTTTGTGTCCACAGCCCTCACCCCAGATAGCCCAGTTATCCATATAAACATCTCCTCCCTCTGGGAACACGGAGTGGGTGATGAGAATGCTGCTCATTGCATCTGAAAGTTAACAGCATTAGCAGAACAGGGCATTAATCACTGCACTCTTCTTGTGGTGTTTACCTGGAAGTGGTGGAAAGAATTTACCAGTATGGGCAGCAGCCCCTGCCCCAAGGAGCTTCCAGACAAGACACAAAAAGTGGGAGGAAGGAGGAGCCCCCACGCCTGTCTTACAGATGGGAACTGATGGCACAGGGAGATGAAATAATGGCTTAGGGTTGCACCTGGGGTCTGTACTGGTGTTATACTGAACCCCTTCTCCCCACACCCAGTCTAGTGGTTTTTGCCAGGTTCAAATCAAGGCATTGGTTTTAACCAGAAGACCCTAAGTGGCCTGACTGCTTTCTCCCTCACCCCCCATCGCGATCCCTAATGGTAGCCGAGCACCACTCCTGCAAGCACCTTGGCGATGGTGCATGGGAAGTCATTCTCAGCAGCTGCTCCTCAGCTCTGGAAATCCTTCTCTCGTGAGGCCGCCAGAGCCTGGGCCTGGATACCATTCAGAAGCACTGTAGGACCCTTCTGTTTGGGCAGGCGCTGAACAACCAAAGCAAGGCCAAGATGTTGTGTCGTGGGCCTCTCCTTGACTTGAGGATTTTATTTTTTGCTAATTGCCCTGTTAAGTTCCTCTGTTTCTCTTGCTGTAAGCGGCTGTGACCTTGCTGGCGTACGTCACATGAATAAAGAAAGAAGTAATACATGATTAATCATTCGTCCTGGCTAAATCCCATAGCACGCTGATGTCAGCCTGCAAAAATTATGCATCTCCTCATTGCTAGATTAGTAGGAAGAAGAAGTAGTTCAAACGAGGGGTTGTTGTTTGTTGCTCTCACCTAGAAATGAAGTGTGGGAGAAGTGTTTGAGTGATTGCTGTGTAAGGATGCAGCCGCTGAGATGCTGGCCTCTTAACCTGCTCTGTCAGTGGCCACTCATCTTGGCCCCGGGGGCGGTTTTGCCCCTGGCTCTCTCTTTCCTCAGGCCTCGGCCAGGTCCTGGAGTTCATGTACACGGCGAAGCTGAGCCTCAGCCCTGAGAACGTAGAGGATGTGCTCGCAGTTGCAGGCTTCCTCCAGATGCAGGAAATTGTCAATGCTTGCAATGCCTTGAAGTCTCTCACCGTGCCAGCAGAAAGCCAAGAGCCTCCTGCCGTGACAGGTATGAAGACTCCACGCACCTCCCCGCTTCCCGCTGGGTCTCTCCTGACTTCAGCTTGTTGCCAAAAGGGCCCTTCAGCAGGAGGAGGAGAGACTAAACACTCATCCGTCTTCATCCTGATGTTTTCCTTGCTGTTCTAATGCAATGTCCCATAGATGACCAGTGCTCAGGCAGTCAGTAAAGACCCCTCCCTCCCTCCCAAAGGAAGGGTAAGAGAAAGGAAGAGGGCACTGAACTCTGCCCTGTTACTGTGAGTAGGTTGTTTCCAGGCTGTGCACATGGACACTAGCACCGCAGGTCTGTAGCACATGGAACGTCAGCTGCGGCTGAAGGGGGCTGCCCTGCCAGCCTGCCCAGGTCAGTGGTGCGAGGATTTGGTGCGGACCAAGCCCTGCTGAGGCCAGGTCAGTCTGAGAGAGGTCCAGGTACCCTGGCTTGGTCTAGGCTAGATGTACTCCCTCTAGCTAACCCTGCCCAGGTGGAGCTGGGGTTTATACGTCTGTCCAATCCTTGTGTATGGCACCAGCAGGTCACTTTACTACTGAATAACTCTTGTGCCCTTTCTTTTCTCACTGTGAGTATTTGCTCATAGGACTTGAAGGCAGTTTGTGCTGCAGGTTACTATAGGCTGTGCTACCCAGTTGCTCCATGTCCTGGGTGGACTGTGTTAGAGAACAAGCTGCCATATAACTATACTTATAAAGAGTGGTTTGCCTGGCTGTGCTTCTCTTGGTAGGGGATGAAAAAACAGCTGGGGAAGGGAAAGCAGCAGCAGAGCTGCTGGGCAACCTCGACCGTGCCACGCAAGTTGCATCTGACAGACAAGGGAAGGTGAAAACAGCAGAGGCTGCAACAGAGGCAAAGGAGGAGACTGAGAACAGCAGCAGCAAGGCGACCAGCAGAGCAGGTCAGCACCGGGAAGCTTTGCGGCTCCAGGCGTCCACTTGCATTCCCTCCTGCTGCGTATTCACCTGCGCACTCCCTTTCCCTCAAAACCATCCTGAGAAACTCAAGTCTGATGGCCATGTTCCCACAGCCTGCCCCAAACATGAAGGTGAATGATTCAGACTTTCTCTTCATCGTTTCCAGGTGTAGAGGATCCCATGAGAGAGGAGATCCCCAGTCACCTGCCACTGGAGGACACGAAGCCGAGCAACATCAGCCCAGCTGCCAGGGGCTGCTCCTCCCAAGGATCGGAGCAAGGTGCAGATCTGCATCGGGCACAGGGTGGTGGGTGATGGTTTTGGAGCTTCCCCTCTGAGGCCCTGTTTCTTCCCCACTACCTTCCTCAGCCCAGGGGGATGGATCAGGCTGGAAGTTTCCTTGTCACCTTCACAGGGAATAGGCTGGAGCGCTGTGCCACAGGAAGTGAAGTCCAGCAGGGAGAGGGATTCCTCTATGCAGCCAGCCAGGCTGGTGCCCTGCACAGTGGATCCCTGCAGCCTGGGCCATCTTGGGCTGAGCCGCAGCTTGGGTTTGCAGTTGGGAGGGCTTCATTTTCATAGTGCAGGACCTTGCATTTGCAAACCCAGGACCTGGATGGTAGCGGAGGTGCACCATGTTTGAAAGGGGGGAATATCCTCAGTGGGTGTGTACTCAGGGCACCTAGGTCCCTGGGGTATTAATGAGGAGGAAACATGGTCCTTCACCTTACTGCTGCTGGACAGCTTTCGTGAAACCCCAGGCATTGTTAGACATTGCAGAGCTGCGTTCCAGTCGGAGCTGGAGGTGCTCAGAGAAGCTGTGTTGATTCTAGATAAGCTGTCAGTCTGTTCAAGCTCTTGCAGGTCTCTCTTGTTCTTTGCAGCACATTAGGTCTGGATTTAAGTGGCCCTGTTCCCTGAGTCCCTTTTTCTTCCTTTTCCCTCCTGGGCATAAACACACAGCAGAAGGGCACAGAGGGCTCACATGAGTTCCTGCTTGTTTTTACTTTGGTAGAAGCTGGCTGGGTCAGAAGCCCCAAATTCCTGTATGCTGGTTTTAAAGCAACAGCAGTGCTCCCATCTTCCTCAAGTGCAGTGATTTTGGCACAAGGGGGCAGTTAGGAGTCGTGCATGGCCATATAAATTGCATTTTTGCAAGTCTCACACGTGTTGCCCAAAGAATGATGGCACTTGTGTCTGTAGAAGGACATCCCACGGGCAGCAGCATCTCAGGCTTCCACACGTCATCCTGTCCAGTGTCCCGACCCTGACCTAACAGTATCATGTTTTCTTGGTCCATCGGTGCGTGGGAGCTCTGCTTCAGGCTGCCACAAGTGCATTAGCTGGTGGTGGCTGTGGTGACCTAAAAGTTCTCATAGACTGAGAGCAAGACTTCACCTGTCCTCAGACTCCACCGCACAGGGCCATCACACAGCTGTCAGCCTGCAGAGCCTTTCGGTCCCTTCCAAGTGTAGATGTGCACAAGTGACCTCCTATCCCATCATCAATCCCTTAGGATAAACTACACGTGGAATAACATCATGTGCTGTCAGTTGAAAAATTTCCATCAGAACCTTTGGCAGGAAATAGGTGTCGACTAAACAGAGGTTGTCAAAGTTTGTGCGTTTTCATCCAGTGCAACAGCCAAATGTTTTGATTCCAGAAGAACGCCGCAGCACCGTGGATGCACTGTAGTTCAGGGCCCTTGTGTTCCCCTTCTTTTCCATGGGGTGGGGGGTGGTCCTTTCATTCCCTTGACCTTTTGCTCCTCACTCTTATCTCCTCAGCATATAAGCTCATTTTATGCACAGTTTGAAATGCTGCAGTAGGATTTTTGTCTCCCACCTCGCCTTCTAGATTTCAGCAGCCCTCTGTATCTTAAATCTCTGCAGAAATGGAAGTGGAGCTGGAGGGGAAGGAGGAAGAGGATGAGACGACAGGAGAGGAAGAGGAGGAAGCCAGAATCCCAGAGGATGAGCTATCGAGGTTAGCAAATGGAGACAACCCAGAGGATAACGAATCTGGGGGCACAGACTCTGGACTGGAGAATTCGGGGGAAGCCAGGCTGCTGCGATCAGGCACCTACAGCGACAGAACGGAGTCAAAAGCATACGGTTCGGTCACACACAAGTGTGAGGTAAGGCAACTCGGGGAGCAGCTCCCCGCTCCATCCCTTGGTCGCGCAGGGCACCGTACGCACTGCTCTGTTCTGCGCGTCTGTTCGCAGGACTGCGGCAAGGAGTTCACACACACTGGCAACTTCAAACGGCACATCCGCATCCACACGGGGGAAAAGCCCTTCTCCTGCAGGGAGTGTAACAAAGCGTTCTCGGACCCGGCCGCCTGCAAAGCCCACGAGAAGACACACAGGTACGGGAGGCCCTCTCGTGAACCGGGTGCTGGGGAGGGATACAGGGAACCTAGCAGCCAGAATGAAGGGCACTTCACCCCAGGTGTAATATTCACAGTGATGCACCATGCACATCTCTTATTCTCTTGTCATGCCCTTCCTTGTCTCCATGCTGCCTTCCCCAACCCTCCTGCATGAGTCCCCTGATGCAGCAGAAGCCCATAAAGCAGCCAGAGCGAGAAGCTGACCAGGGAAAACAAATGGGGTTTCTCTCAGTATGAAGTTCAGCTGCTGTCCACCACAGCGCCGTGCCCTCTCCTCTGGGCTGGCAGTCCTGTGGCCGTGGCCCTGTGCTCTCGGCAGTTGCGTGGCTGGCACAGCCCGTCCGCAGATGATCCAAAAGCACAGCTTTCACCGTTTAGAGTAAGCGGTAGATTTGCACCAGGAGCTGACAGGAAATAGGCAGTGTCATCTTCCTGAGTCTGCAGGCAGCTTGGAAGAATAAATGAGAGGTGTGAATGGCCCCTTTGGTCCCAGTGGGAGTTTGATTTTGCAGTGTAATGATACAGCCTGAAATGTCAGCCCTGCTGAGTGATTTTTTTTCCTGCTTATTATTGAAGCAGAAGCATGCAGCCGGTAGGCTTTTTCCTGTGATCCCAGACTCTGTCATACCAAAAGATCCTAACCATTCCCTGCCCAGTTGCAAACCTCTCTATCTTCCCCACGCCCTGGCGGTGCCCATGGTCTCATTTGCTCTGTCGATCCTGGAATCTGCCACATAGGAAACTTTAGTGCGCGGTTAGCTCTGACATCCAGATACCAAGTACAGGGGGTGCCCTACAGGGCACTGTCACCTTTAAAGCCTTCCTGTTCTCCGTAGACGTGAAGCTGTGGCAGAGGATCCAGGTGCCATTTCGTGGGCCGTAGCCCTGGTTTATTGCTCAACATCTCACTGTTCAGCCCAGCTCCCCTCTCCATCACGTAGCTGTGATGGCTCCTAAGAGGAAGGCAGCGTCGCAGCTCTGCATGCTCAGACTGTGGGCAATCCCAAGACCTACTCAGGGAGAAGGGTGGGCTAGCTCTCCTCCAGCCCTGAGCGTGTCGGCCTGGCTGCCCCCAGGGTCCCTCACCCCCGCTCCGTCCCTCTTGTAGCCCTCTGAAGCCCTACGGCTGTGAAGAGTGTGGGAAAAGTTACCGCCTTATCAGCCTGCTGAACCTGCACAAGAAGCGGCACACGGGGGAGGCCAAGTACCGGTGCGATGACTGCGGGAAGCTCTTCACTACTTCGGGCAACCTCAAACGGCACCAGCTGGTGCACAGCGGTGAGAAGCCCTACCAGTGCGACTACTGCGGGCGCTCCTTCTCCGACCCCACCTCCAAGATGCGCCACCTGGAGACCCACGACACCGACAAGGAGCACAAGTGCCCGCACTGTGACAAAAAGTTTAATCAGGTGTGTGTCTGTGTGGGGGGGGGGGTCTGTGCTCAGCCCTCAGGGCTCCTCGGGCAGTCTGCTGTGACCTGGAGGGCTGCACCCAGCCCCCAGGGAGGATAGACGCCCCTCTCCAGTCCTTGCTGTCACAAAATGTGCTTGGCTGCTTGTGGCAGAAGCAGGCTTGAGCTCCGGGCATTGACTCTGCCTGGGCTGCACCCCCTTTCAGGGTTGCTTCCTGGCCCGTGGAGAGAGGGCTTTAGGAGGCTACATGTCAGGCCACCAGGTGCCATGGGTGATGGCTGGCATGACCTAGGCTGTGTTGGGCTCTAAGCCTTGTGTGTCTGTCTTCCCCCCGCCCCTCCCCTCGGGCATCTCCCGCTGGTTGAAGGGAAGGCTGGCAGGGGCTGGAGGGAAGTTTATCGCCAGGGTGTCACAGTCCTTTTCAGGAGAAACAGAACAGCACAGCTAGACAAGATCACACTGTTACCCTCCAAATAGGCCTTGACTGAAGGCTTCCTCGGGCTCCTCCTGCTCTCCAATCCCCTTGGTATCTGAGCACTTAAATGCTTAATGCTGTTAGAGGCTTCTTTGTCCCCATTGTAGAGATGGGAAAGCTGAGGGCCAGGGAGGGGAAGCTCATTTGCCTACGGTGTCCAAGCGAGATGGTGACGGAGCCAAGGATAATTTGAGGGTTTCCTGACTGGCCTCTGAGCTCTTTGATCCTGCTGCCTCAGCAGTGCGGAAGCAGGTGATGAGCAGGGGGACAGAATTCAACCCGGCCCATCCCCGTACCCCTGTCAGCCGCCGCTCCAGCATTTGGGAAGCTTTGGTACTGCCACTGTAACCCCTGCTGGCAAGTGCATGTGAGCAGATGTCCCGTCTCTGCTGCCCTGACACATTTGTTACCGGCGCTGTGCCCCCCATGTGCATGGGGCAGAGCGGGCAGGGTCTGACACAGCGTGCCTCCACTCCAGAGGCCCAGCCAGGCTGAAGGGACCCGTCTTGTCTGCCGGCAGGTGGGAAACTTGAAGGCGCACTTGAAGATTCACATTGCTGATGGCCCCTTGAAGTGCCGCGAATGCGGCAAGCAGTTCACCACGTCAGGTACCCCCGGGCAGGAGGCGGTAGGGATGGGTGCAGCTGTGGGGGGCAGCAGCTCCAGCTTCTCCTGGGTTTTGCAGACAGCATCACCCTGAGCAGAGGCAACAGATCAGTAGGCCCAGTCTTGGATGGAGGCCTCAGTGTGTAGGTCAAGACCAGACCAGGGCTCCTTTGGTGCATGCCAGGTGCTCAGTGTGGACACGGCATCCCTGGGCTCCGGGGCTCGTGAGCAATTCCCTGTTGGGAAAGGCAGTGCCATGTGCGGTGAACAGTTCTGCAGGAGGAGCTGTGGGGGCACTGCTGCAAGTCATACTGGTGTTATTGGCAGTTACTCCCTTGCCCTCAGGTGGCAGAGGTGTAGCTGGTGCCCTCTTCCGTATTGCAGGCCCGGCTCTTCAAGAGCCACAAGCCCAGCCCCGACAAGCCACAAGATGCACTGTCCTGAGACTCTTCTGAGTTTTTAAGCCAGATCTGAGGGTTTTCATATTTGCCTTCTGGCATCCGAGCTCTCCAGCTGCGAGGTTTTGCGCAGGATCCTGAAGGGTCCAGGCCTTTGCTTTAAGCAGCAGAGGAGATTCCCATGGCATGACCTGACTCTGAGAGCTGAGCTGGAAGGAGGATACCAAATATGGCCAGGCTCAAGCTAGCAGCATGGGAGCTGGCAGCCCAGCCCGTTCGATCAGAGCACTGCAGGGACATTAAATGCAAAACGCTCCGGCTGTCTTGGCGTGTCTGAAGCCAAATGCCGAGGGCTTGCAGCCTGTGACACGTTGCAGTCCAAGCAGAGCGGCTTTCCCCCGCGTTGCCGTTGGCTGGCGTGCAGCCGTCTCTCCTGGCTCCGCTTCCTGCTGGACGGCACACAGCTCCCGTTGCAGTAGCGAGTGCTGCTCGTGCTCTACCAGGGTAGGGCCCCGTTGCAGTCCACAGTGCTAGGCCAAGACGCACACAGATGCAGAGACAGACACACATGACCCCAGTTGTCTCTCCTGCCTAGTGCAGGGGGGCTGGACCCGATGATCTTGCAAGCTCCCTTCCAGCCCTTGCAATCTATGAATCCCTCTTGTCTGGCTTCTCCAAGGGAACTTGAAGAGGCACCTGCGTATCCACAGCGGTGAGAAGCCCTACGTGTGCGTGCATTGCCAGAGGCAGTTTGCCGACCCTGGGGCCCTGCAGCGACACGTCCGCATTCACACAGGTAGGCTGGGCTGGGCTGGCCGTGCCTGACGTGGGGCACGCGCTGATGCGCACCCTTCATGGAGATGGACTTGCTCTATCCCACCATGTTCCCCCGGGGTGTCCTCCTGCTGCCCATCGCCAGAGCCCGTGGTCACCTTCCATGCAGGAGCAGGAGGCTCTGCCTTTGGGGCACAGCAGTACCTTGGTGAGCAGCCAGCCCACTAACACCCATTTGCACATCTTGGCTTCACTGTCAGGCCAGTGGTACAAGCGTGTTACAGCATGTTGATGGTAAATCGAGGAGCAGTGCTGTTGAGTCCTCCCCATCGAGCGCCTGAGTGGCCACATGGTCCTGTCTATAACACTTCTGCGTATCCCAGTGTCTACTCCCCCACTGCCCCACTCACTGGTGCCCGTCCCTTTTACCATCGCTCCTGTCTGACAGACGGGAACACGAGTTGGTCTCTGAGGCATCTGTGTTGGTTGCCCCCCTTCTTCCATCCCGGAGGTTGGTGCTTGCGGCTGCCCTGCCCTGACTGTCCTGTCCCTTTCACCCCCAGGCGAGAAGCCCTGCCAGTGCCTGATCTGCGGGAAGGCCTTCACTCAAGCAAGCTCGCTCATCGCTCACGTGCGTCAGCACACGGGAGAGAAGCCGTACGTGTGTGAGCGCTGCGGCAAGAGGTGAGGACCCCTCAGAGAGGCCCCCGGCCTTGGCCCAGCTGGTAGGAACATGGCTCGGCTCTGGCCCCACACCACCCTCTGCCCCCCATTCCCACTTCAGTCCTGTCTTGCAGCTGCACGCGGGTGCTGGGTCCTGGCACCAGCGGGTTTGAAGGAATGGTTGAGTTAGGGAGGAGCTGGGGGCTGGACGACACCGGCCTGGCCCAGGACATCCTTAGGAGCTTGTCACTGAAAAGCCTCCTGTCTTGTGGGGTGACAAAACGGCTCTGCCCATCCCATGCTGAAGGGGTTCGCTGCTGCCTGTCCCAGGAAGTGTGCACACAAAGGGGCTCTGACCCTTGCTGGCTGGCAGCTGGTCTTCTCCCCAGCCCCCGTGGCATGGCTCCAGGTCTCAAATCAGTGAGGTGTGCAGGCTGTCAGCCCTCAGGCCCAGCTAGCGGCTGTGTGGGGGCCGTTAGCTCCATCGTCCCCTCATAGATCGTCCTAGGCTCAGCCCAGGACCCTGCTCTGCTCAGTGACCAGAGACCTGGGCAGAGGGAGGTGGTGAGTTTCCTTCTGTTCCTGGGGCTCTGTAGCAAGCCCAGGGCTGCAGGACAAGATGTTTGCCCGTGAACCGGCCGGAGGGCATAAGCCCCGAGCTCTCCCCGGCCATGGGGGAGGCCCAGGGGATGCCACATTCTGCCCTCCGGGCCCAGCGACAGCCCATCCCCCAATCCTTCCCACAGCTCCTACCTGCCCCCCATTCCATGGCAGACACCACCTATATCCCTGATCCCACTGATTGCTCCTACAG